TGAGTCCCCAGGATTTTTGGTCCAATTGGGTGAGGGACTCTCCGCCCCCAAGGTAACGCCCCCCCCCAGGGCAGGTCTGTGCAGGCATTTGGGCAGGATTGGGAGGGCTCGGGGGGTTGGCCCGGGCGGGGGAGTCTGGCAGGGACCTGGGCAGCCGGGCATGAAAGCCGTACAATAGAAAAGGGATTTGGTTTTTGAAGCGCCTGAAAAACTGACTTTATATCTGGGGGTGGGGTGAGACGGATTTATCCCCTTTCCCAACCCTTTTTAATTGTGGCCGCCGCCCATTAGCAGCGGTGGTGGTGGTGGGTGTGTGGGGGGAAAACAATAAGGCGCCCGTGCGCATGCGCGTAATGACCTTTTCCCCCCCCCCCCCACCCGCCCCCCAATCCCGCAATCCCCGGGAAAACCACACCTGTACCCCTGCCCAACAAACACTCCCCGGGTGATTGTGGTCTGTGACCCCAATCGGTGCCTCGTTCCTCAAGGGAGCTTGAGGAGCTGTGCAGTCAGGGTTGGGCGGCGGCACAGGCTGTGTCAGAGCCCCAGTCACATGCAGCCCCGTGGTCTGTGGGGGTGTGAAGCGGCCCCTCCCAGAACAGGGCCAGAGACGAGACACGCCCATCATTTGGAAGAGAGGGAGCCTGCCACCACCCCTCCACCGGCCCCACGATGCCAATCTGATTTTGGTGGGGGCCAGGGAGGGGGGAGACAAGGGTCCGGAGTTCGAGATTGGGCCTCTGGATCTTTGTTTTGGACTCTGTCTCCCGAGACGGCAAATATCTCCTCCTCCTCCGGTGACTCAGCCATCGGGTCACGACCCCCGTGGCTGCCCTGGGCAACGTCCCAGCGGGCAGAGCCTGCCTCAGCCTTCCTTGTGGAGGACCCTCAGAACCGCTGGCAGAGCTTATTTGGACTGGGGTTGGGGGTGTGGCACCCGGAGCAGGTTGGCCCAGCTCTGCCGGTCTGATTCTCCTTTTTGTTTATCATTAATCTTGGCCACAACCCTGGACACCGGAGAGTTCCAAATGATCAACTTTTTGAGAGACTTGAAGTGAGCCTGTGGGTGTCATTTGTTTAGGGGTTTCTTTTCAAACCAGGCCCCCGCAAGAGAGGCCCCTCACATGCAGCCTTTCTCTTGCTGGACCTGCCAGTCCTAAATCCCAGAGCTGGAATTCTTGGATTTATTTGTACATGCAAACATATCCTCTTTAAAGGGCTTCTTCCTGGATTCAGCTCTGGCCCCACCCTTTCCACTGATTTCTAAATAATCCCACTCTTGAGAGGGTGCTAAGAGGAAATTTTTTAAAAATATATTTTATTGATTTTTTTAAAGAGAGGAAGGGAGAGGGATAGAGTTAGAAACATCGATGAGAGAAAAACATCGATCAGCTGCTTCCTGCACACCTCCTACTGGGGATGTGCCCGCAACCAAGGTACATGCTCTTGACTGGAATCGAACCTGGGACCTTTCAGGCCGCAGGCCAACACTCCATCCACTGAGCCAAACCAGTGAGGACAGGGAATTTTTTAAAATGAGGGGAGTTGTAGTTCATGCTGCTGAAGGCCACCCACCGAACCTTCCCTCCCCACACTTTCCACTTGGTAAATACAGGATATCCTGTCCAGGGCAAGAATCTGATTCTAAGAGGCTGGATTCTGTGGGGAGGGCTGCCTCCCTGCCTCCTGATATCAGGGCTGACTCTGCTCTGTGATGGGCTGAGTGGTGGGCATTAGTCTGGGTAAGTGGTCAGCCTTGTTCTGGGCCAGACCTAGGCCTGGTCACCAACCAGACTGACCACTGCACTTTTCCCAGTCCTCCAGGGTGACTGCCGAGTCTGCAAATCCTGAGTCTTGAGGTGGAATGCTTTCGTTCCCCACACCCCATCTCAGATCAGTGCTTGAAGGGAAAGATCCTACCCTGCCCTCAATCTTCCTCATCAATGGAATGTGGGGCCTTGAGGACATGAAAAATGGTGTGTGGGGGAGTCCCATCCCCCTTCTGCATCGATCCCAAACCTTGTTAATATACAGAATTCCCATCATTCCTGACAGGGGCCAAGACAGGCCCGGATTGTCCCAGAACAGCACCCACACCTCCCTTTCCAGCTCTTCAAAGAGTGAGGAGGGGCCTTCCTTTCTCCTGAGAATACTCCCTTCCCCTGCCCTAAACTGAAAGGAGGCTCTCCTACAGGTGGCTAAGAGTTAGGAAAATGCCTTTTCCTGGTGGGTGGGATTGTGTGGCTCTTCTTGTCCATCACCTCTCCCCTCAACACACACATCTCTGGGTGAAAGTGTTTCCTGGGCCCCCAGTGCTGGCTCAGATACATCTCCTGAGGGAACCACACCCAGCTCTAACTGGTCAAAGATCTTTACCTGTACTGTGGTATGGACCTTATCACGTACTGCCTCTTCCTTCAGTTACTGGGATTGGTCACCTTCCCTCCTGGTTACTGTTATTGTCATTGTTGTTGTTGTTGTTGTTATTTAATACCACTAAGTGTCTACTATGTGGCCAACATTTGGCTAAAAAAAAGACTAAATGATTTTTTTGTTACTTAATCCTCACAACTCCCTAATTTACAGATAGAAAAACCGGGGTTCAAAAAAGTTAATTTTCTGTTAGCCAATGTCACATCGTCAATGAACAGTGGAGCCTGTTTTTTTTAACAGAAGCCGTTGGATCTCTTCAATACTTTATGCTGTCCCAACTGTAAGCTTCGTGGGTCAGGGACCTTACACAATAGTGAAGTCTAATATCTGTAAAATGGAGATAAGGATAGTATCTACCTTAAAGAGCTGGGGTAAGGATTAGTTAAGTGTTTATATATAAAGCACTTACAATATAGCCTGGACCTTGGGAAGCACTCAGTAAAGATAAGTTGTTATTGTTTGTGATGAAATTATTATTACCATTATTACCACTGCTCCTTCATTACCAGGAAGAGGGCCTTGTACATAACAGAAGGTCATAAATTGCCAATGAATGACTTAATCATGCTCTTGTTTCATTCTTCAAGGTAGGGGATCGGGTGATGGCGTTGATGCGCTCGGGCATGTGGCAGGAGGAGGTGACTGTGCTCTCAGCCCAGACCTTTCTGATGCCTGAGTCCATGACCTTTGAGGAAGCTGCTGCCTTGCTGGTTAATTACATCACAGCATACATGATCCTCTTTGACTTTGGCAACCTACGGCCTGGCCAAAGCGTCTTGGTACACATGGCTGCAGGTAACAGGCCCCTTTCTTTTATCCCCCCTCCTTACCCAGATTTCTTCCTGAGGCCCCTTCTCAGTAGCATGTCTGGACTGTTGCCATGGTAACACCAGGCTGCCTTGGCCTATGGCGCCCAAGGCCTCTGCAGTATTGTTGCCGTGGCAACATTCAGGCACCAGATCTAGCCTGGTGTGCTATCCATAGCAACATGCTGTGGCCCAGCACCCCTTCCTTGCCAGTTACCCTTCCCCCAATTTTCAATCATAGAAATTGGACATGAGGTGCATGCAGTAAGCCTCCAAATGAGCCCAGGCAAAATGAAGATGATGGGGTTGGTCCTTGAGAGACAAGAAAGGAGACTGGTGGCTGGGTGACTCTATATCCCCTACTTATGAAAGTGTCTTGCTGCAGGGGGTGTGGGTATAGCCGCCTTGCAGCTGTGCCGAACAGTGGAGAATGTGACAGTGTTTGGAACGGCCTCGGCCAGCAAGCATGAGATGCTGAAGGAGAACGGGATCACATATCCCATTGACTACCACACGACTGACTATGTGGAAGAGGTCAAGAAGATCTCCCCCAAAGGTGGGGTCAGGGTATGGGATGGCCTGGGACAGAGGGGAGGTCTCCAAATTGGTGGATTCTAATGCTGCTCCTGGTTCCCCTTATTCTGTGACAGGCGTGGACATCGTCATGGACCCTCTGGGTGGGTCAGATACTGCTAAAGGCTACAACCTCCTCAAACCCATGGGCAAATTGATCACGTATGGTAAGTCAGGGGGCCAGAATGGAGAGGGATATAGGAGCCCAGGGCTTTTGAAGGAAGAAGGGGCAGGGACCCAGGTGCTGTAGAGAGAGTGCCAGGGTTAGGATGGCCCTGAGATGTTGCACTCAGATTGCTGCCTCCTGGGTGCAGCTATTGTCATTTTCTTTCACAACCTTCCATGTGAGTCACAGGAAATTGTATTCTTTCTGTGCTGCTGTTTGGGGATTTTTCTTTTTTTTAAAAATATATTTTTATTGATTTCAGAGAGGAAAAGAGAAGGAGAAAGATAGAAAGATCAATGATGAGAGAGAACCATTGATTGACTGCCTCCTGCATGCCCCACACTGGGGATTGAGCCCACAACCTGGGCATGTGCCCTTGACCGGTATCGAACCCAGGACCCTTCAGTCCGCAGGCCTCCACTTTATCCACTGAGCCAAACCAGCTAAGGCTGGGGATTATTCTTGATGCACAATCACCCAGTCTGCCTTCCTCTGTTCTACCCTCCTGGCTTCTTAGGCAACTGCATTTCCATTTAAAAAACCATTTCATACACCTGAAACCAATACAAAATAGTATTGAATGTAAACTGTCACTGAAAAACAAAATTAAAAAACCATTTTGCATAAAAACAAACAAATAAAGATTAGAACCATTTTTTAGTTAGACGGAGTCTTTTGGGGCCTGGTAGCCTGCAGGTAGTGGATTATCCTGTCACTTCCTGGCACTAGTGTGGATAATTGTAAGGGGCCCACAGGGGGCACACGAACATGGATCTAGACACGCAGAGCTGTGCCTGGCACCCGGATTCATAGGCTATGTCTTCTTGTCTCTCAGGAATGGCCAACCTGGTGTCAGGCCCCAAGCGGAACCTGATGAACATGGCACGTATATGGTGGAATCAGTTCAGCGTGACAGCTCTGCAGCTGCTGCCGGCCAACCGGGCTGTGTGTGGCTACCACCTGGGCTACCTGGATAGTGAGACAGAGCTGGTCAGTGGTGTGGTGACCCGCCTCCTGGCTCTGTACAATCAGGGCCACATCAAACCTCACATTGACTCTGTGTGGCCCTTCGAGAAGGTGAGTGTGATGGCTCTGCAGGCAGGGCCTGGGCAGGACCCTGCAAGGCTGTGGTCCTAGGGGTAGGGTTCCTGCGGGGAGGAGAGCCTCCTCCTTTAGGCTGACTCTCTGGAGCACTGGGAGCAACGTCTTGTCTTCCTTTTCAGGTGGCGGATGCCATGAGGCAGATGCAGGAGAAGAAGAATGTGGGCAAAGTCATCCTGGTGCCTGGGCCAGAGAAGGAGAACTAGGATGGGGGCTGGGAGACCCTCGGGAAGAGAGAAGCTGGGAAGCCATGTTATGGTGGCCCCCAGATCCTCGAATTTCATCCTTTATCACAATGCTCTGCCCTCTTTCCCCCAAAGGTCTCTGTGGTGATGACCTCTCCCCTGCCCTGTTTTTTCTCTTTAGCCAGGGCTGCCCCCTCCCTCCTTCCTGCCCTCTGAAGAGGTTGGGAAGTGACCACTTGGATGTCTGGGCCCCGCCAAGGGGACAGGGAGGGACAGAGGGAGACCGGCTGCTTCCTGCCCCCACCCTTTCCCTGGGCCTGCTGTGCTGCTTTTGTGCCAAGGCTAGCCAACCCCTTCCCGTTCTGTTCTACGTGCTTCTGCCTCTGCCTCATCTCCCTTCCTGCCCCTGCCCCACTACCTCCCCCAAAGAAATGAAATGTCAGCTCAGGATATGGGGCCAATCTGTGTGAGTCCAGCATGTCCCTGTTTCGCCCTAGTGTCCCTTCAACCCGGGCCGACCAGCGCCCACCTCTGAACTTCTTTGCCTCATTGTATGGCCTCATCTTCTTGTCCCCCAACTTCTTAAGCACAATTGAGCTTCTTCCACCTCCAGGTTTCCTGCCACTCTTTACCAAGGTTGCCTCTTACACCAAGGGCAGGAATCACAACTGGTCCCCTAGGTCACAACTCTGTGGGAGGGATACAGAGGCCCCCTTCCTTCACTGAGTTCTCTGGATTTGTTCTCAGTGCCTTAGCAATGGAAAACCTGTGCTTGTGTATATGGAGGGGTCCCTGTCTCACACCTCCTTCTTCACCCTTGTACTCCCCAGTGCCTTCCTTGTTTTGATGGAGCTGGGTTCTACTGCTCCCCAGTTCCACAACACCTCCAAAAATCTGTGAGTGTGCCAGTGTCGGGGCAGAGGCAGCCCCTCGCCTCCTAGGTCCTGTGCCATATCCTGCCTCTCTCTGGGGCTGTCATTTCTCTCTCAATGGTTGAGGAGAAAGAGGTGGGGAGGTTTTCTCAGCCTTGCAGATAAGGATGGCATTTACCAGCCAGAGTCCTGGGAGTCAATGCCGTCTATTTCTTGTTCTGGGACCAAAGTAAAAATTAAAGCACATCCCTGTGCAGTTATGGGAGGCCCCCTGCCCCCTGCCTTCTCAGAGCAGGGAGGTACCTTTCCAAATGCCCCAAACTTTGTTTACATGGGTGGGGAGATGAAGTGAGGGAGTAAAATGGGGTGGGGGGGAGCGGGTTAGGAACTGGGCCCTGGGAACCAAAGTGGGGACTTCCTAGGGTACAGGTGTAGCTCCCTCTGCTCTCTGAGCTGGAATTAAGAAGGGTTATTGCCCCAGCCATTGCCAATGGGAGGTGGCGGGGAGGGGTTCAGCCTCTTCATTGTCTAAATGAGGCCTAAACGGTGTGAAGTGCGACTTCTGCTTTTGTGTACCCCACCCCATGACCGAAGCTGCCTTTGTGTTTGTGTCAATAAAAAGCTAAACCCTGGATCCTGGCTGTGGCCTCTGAGAGTGGAGGGGAAGGTCAGCTGGGGAAGGTCAGTGCTGGTAGCAGAAGGCTAGGGTTTCTGCCCTCCCCCCAGCCTCCTTCCTTGCCCAAATCAAGTTTCCTTTCATGAAATGAAATGAGGAAGGAGATCACTCTAGGCAGGCACTTTTACTGTCTGGGACAGCGTTTCACAACTCAGAGTCCCGCCCTCCGTTGACTAGCATGATCTTGATCATCCACATGCACCCAACCCCAGCCCAGTTTGAGAACCTTGGGAGAGGGCTGGAGGGTGATGAGAGGGTAGGCTCCTAGCTGGACTCGGTGGTGAAGACCGCCAGGCGTTGCTCTCCTGGAGGCACGACTGTCAGGGCCTCCACCTCCCCTCCCCCACGGGTGGGCTTCTGGAAGTGGACCTGCAGGACATCCTGCAGCTCGGGGCCATCCAGCACATCGGGAATGTTGAGCACCAGCACTGCCTGTGGCACTGGCTGGAACCTGATCTGGAAAAGGATTCCGGAGGTGAGCAAAGGCTCATGGGAGTCGGGCTGGGGCAGAGGGTGGAGCAGGCAGTGCCCATGGGAGCATGAGAGGGGCAGACAGGTTACCTGGCCAGCCCCCGTTCCCCACCTTCCTACTTACCTCTGCCTTCTGGATCTCTCCGCTCATGTAAGGAGAGACTTTCAGAGGGAACTGCCGCCCACCCAATGGCACCGTGAACTGGCCAGTCCGGCACAGGTTCTGGGCCACTGCAGGGAAGAACGGGTAGGCCTTTAGCGTCAAGGGCTTTCCTCTGGGGCCTGATGCATCTGCCCTAATCTCCCTGAGAGAGCCCTTACCTTCATCCTTGGCAAAGCCCAGCATGACACCCCCATGCAGCAGTTCCCGAGTCTCCACATCTCCGCCCCCGTTCTTGGTCTTGCAAAAGAAGAGCTCCAGCTTGTCCAGCAGCTCCTCCTCACTCAGCTTGAGCTTATCAGGTAACCCACTGACCAGCACTCTCTGGCTACTCATCTGGCTGGACACCTAGGGGTAGAAGGAGTGGTTCCAGGCACAGCCCCACTCCCCAGTGTCCAAGTGCATGGCACCCCTGCAGGTCCCAGAACTCTGCCACTCTATCACCTGGATGGTTGTCACCACGGGTAGCTCCACGGGCTGGACCTGCACCCGCAGCCGGCACTCTTCCAGCTCAATCTGATGCTCCTTTTGTCGTAGCACCTGCTTGGCCACTGGGTGGGGGGTGAGGGGTGGGGGTTGGGGGGGAGGCAGGATCAGTGCTGGGAAGCCTCCCAGCCTCCCTCCCAAGGCTTCCCAGTGAGCTCACCCTTGGGGTCATCAAAGATGACCAGCGCAGAGCCTCCAGGCATAGGATAGCAGATCTGCAGGTCGGAAACCAAAGACTTGGGCACTTCCATCCCCTCCTGAACGTGTCCTCGGAACACCAGGGGGACTTCAGGCACTGGGAATGGGACCTGGAGATGGGGGGGGTGAAGATTGGGGGGTGATGTAGCCTTCAAGGTTGGGGGAGCTCTCTACTCCCTCCCAGGAGGAAAGTGTCCCCAGTTCCATGTGATTGATACTGAGTGCAAGCAAGGGATGAATATGTTTAATGGAAGAAGAGCTGGGTAAATAAGTGGATGAAAGCAGATCAAGCTTGTTCTGGCACTTAAAGTATTTTTTTTTTTTTGGTTAATCCTCACCCAAGGATATTATTTCCCATTGATTTTTAGAGAAAGTAGAAGCGGGAAGGGGAGAGAGACAGGGAGAAACATCGATCGATGTGAGAGAGAGACATCGATTGGTTGCCTTCCCCATGCACCCCAACTAGGGTCAAGGACTGAACCTGCCACCCAGGTAAGTGCCCCTTGACCGGGAATCAACCCTTTGGTGCACAGGCCGGCCAATGCTCTAACCACTGAGCAACCAACCACGGCTGTCCTGGCATTTTATATACAAGATTTTAGTTTGTCATCACACAAGCCTATGAAGGAAGTAACTCTACTTTATAGATGAGAAAACGGATCCAGAGGGTTCAAGTAACATCCTCTAGGTTACACAGCAAGGAAGTGGCAGAGCCAGAAGTGAAACTAAGAGCTCCCCAGCTCTTTCTGCCAGGCCACACCCCTCTCCCAGCTTACCTTGTCTTGGGGGGAGTTCCTGAGCTCCCTTTTCAGCTGCTGCAGTTCCTGCAGCCTCATCTTTAGTCTGGCCTGCTCCTCCTGAAGGTTGTGTAATAGGTCCCCCCTCCTGAAGCATGCCTATTAGGACAGACAGAACAATCAGACACCCACCAGCCTTTCCAGGGGAAGGGGGTCCTACTCTGGACTCTCTCAGCTTAAGAACAACCCAACCCCTTTACCCGGCCCTGGGTGGGTCCTGGCCCCTCTTCTCAGGACTTGGTGGCCTCAGCCACTCTCTGAAGGGCAGAAGCCTTTGCAGCAGCCATGGCTGGTTTATTATTGACACCTAGAGTTTAACAAACACTGATTGAGCTCCTGCTGTGAGGTGCTGGGTACTGACACAGGGCAGTGCAAGACCAGTGCCAAGCCTCAGGCCTGCACAAAACAGAACCGGAGTTTGTGAGCAGTCACATGACTGATTGTGGAGAACAGCAGGAGTTTGGAGGAGGGATCATTGCAAACGGGTTAACACAGCTAGGGAGGCCTCCAGGGGAAATGGGTGCGTAGAGTTGCAAAATGTCATAATACTATTAGCTAACACGTACTAAGCACAAACATGTCAGGCATTGTTTTATTTTTTCAAGTTATAAGAGAAAGTTTCTTTAGAAAGTTACAGAGATAGTAGAAGTGAGCCAGCCAGGTTGCGTAAGCTCAGGAAACAAGTTGCAGAGGCAGAAGAAGGGCCTTTGGAGCTTAGGAGGGAGAATGGCAAAGGTAACCAACTGCTCCTGGGTGGGGGGTGGGGGAGAGAGAAGAGGGGGTAGGAAAGGCGCAAGTGTGCTCCAGAGAAGGAGAGCACCTGTCCTAAGCCATTTATATAGATTATATCACTCAGTTCTGCCAGCAACCCTCTTGTCCTTATTTTACAGATGAGGAAACCCAAAGCTCAGAGAGGTTAAGTGATTTGCCCGAAGTAATTCAGCCCTATCAGTGTGACTCCACACTGTTAATTTGTGCTCTACAGTGAAGAAATCAAGCCCAGAGTTGGGGAGTAATGTACCCCACACCTTGCCAGTGTGTCCCTTGACTGCCACCCTTTCCATTGTTCCAAGCAGCCTTTTAAGCTGGTGCCATTTGGAGCAGGTCGAGAGAGAGAGAGAGAGAGAGAGAGAGAGAGAGAGAGAGAGAGAGAGCTGACAACGTGGGCAGGGGAATGACACCAGGGATATGAGTAAATGCACCTTTGTTTGTGGGTTGGAACAGTTGTTGGCTGGCATAGTTCACTCAGTGGTTGGGAAGCCTGATAAATAAGGTCAGCCTAGAATCTAAGTGTGAGCTCACTTGGGAGATGGGACTCTGTCCTGGTCTTCTCTGTATCTCCAGTGCTCAGCAGGGTCCCTGGCACAAAACAGGCATTTGGCAAAGTGTGTTGACTGAATGAATGAAGTGAATGAATAATAGGATGAAAGCATATTACAGAGGGTATTGAAGACATTCAGTGAGTTCACTCTCATTTTAAGCAGAGAAAAACTAGGGCTTGATTAATACTGGTTTATGAGTAGTGAGAAAGGTACCTCATTCTTTTTTTTTCTTTCATTCTTTATATTTCTATAAACAAGGGGGTCACAAACTCAGTGCCTATAAGGGCCAGTTAGTCAAGGGTGCCAGTCTAGTGTGATAAGGAGTGGTGGAGAGCCTGAGAAACTGGAGAGAGCATATATCCCCACTACAGTGACAGCCTCTTCTTAGCTCTAACCGAGTTTTTTCACATGGGAGTGTGTTGTGGTTCCAGTATCCCCTATCTCTCCATTTTAAAGGGAAATCAGAAACCTGAATTTTTATTTGAAAAAGATGGCTCAATGTAAAAAATATATGAAAAATAAAATACATTGGTGGGTTGGATTCAGTCCGCAGTCCATTCTCTTTTTACTTCTGCTTTAAATATTGACATAATTATACATAATTGAAAATCTAGTAATTGGCAATGCTATTTTTTAATAAATAGCTTAATAAAAATAAATAAATAATTGCTTCATAAGTAGACTATTTTATTTTTTAAAAAATATTTTTATTGATTTTAGAGAGGAAGGGAGAGGGATAGAGAGATAGAATCATCAATGATGAGAGAGAACCATTGATTGGCTGCCTCCTGCACACTCCTACTGGGGATTGAGCCTGCAACCCAGGCATGTGCCCTTAGCGGGAATCAAACCTAGGACCCGTCAGTCCAAAGGGCGACGCTCTATCCACTGAGCAAAACTGGCTAGGGCCATAAGTAGACTATTTTAAAGAAAATTTCAAGCTGGGGAGTTTAAATGTGATATCAGCAAGGAATGGGGAACTAGTGAAGATTTCTGGAAGGGGGGTAAGGGAGTGGACATGGTGTTTAAAGGAGATCCTGGGAGTGACGGCAGAAGGAACTGGGGCAGGAGCCGTGGAGTGAGGGAAACAAGCCCAGGCTCCGTGGCTCTAGTTCCCACCACGTGACAGGAGCTGACCTGGACCTCTGGCAGGGGCCAACCGAGGAGCACACGTGGATGAGCATGTTTCATGAGGAAAACCTCCCAGATGCAGTGGATGTTTGCATTAAGGAGACAGAGGGCGGTGAAGACGATGCCAGATTGCAGACCTGGTGCCCCAGAGTCTGGTATAATGCCATTGGCCCAGAGGGCCAGGAAAGAGATCCAGACCTGCTAAATGCCAGACACGGTTGGACTCTATCTCTTTTAAATATCACAAAATTCCCTCCTGTCTCCAACTCCCAACTGAAACTTGTCTCTTACAGGACTCTTAAGGACAACACAGGCCAATTGTAATCACTTAACCTGAATTCAGTATTCTGGCTATTTACTTATACAACATGATAACATGGTCTCTAAATGCAAGCCATGCCCTGGCTGGTGTGGCTCAGTTGATTGAGTATTGTCCTATGTACCAAAAGGTTGCTAGTTTGACTCCTGGGCAGGGCACATGCATGGGTTTCAGGTTGATCCGTGGTAGGGGGCGTGCAGGAGGCAGCTGATCAATGTTTCTCTCTCTCTCCTTCTCCCTTCTTCTCTAAAATCAATAAAAACAGCCTGGCTGGCATGGCTCAGGGTTTGAACATTGAGGAGGTCACGGTTCGATTCCTGGTTGGGGCATATGCCTGGGTTATGTGCTCAATCCCCAGTATGGAGCATGCAGGAGGCAGCTGATTGATGATTCTCTCTCTTTCCCTTCCTCTTTGAAATCAATAAAAATAAAATAAAATTTAAAAATATTTAAATAAATAAATGCAAGCCATCTGGTGCTCCACTGAAAAAAAAGTGCAACCGAATCTACATTGAGCTCATGGAGAAACTATAAATTCTGGATACATTTTGGGTAAGTTCATGATTTAAAGTTAATTTTGACTTCATATAA